AGCTCACCATTTATTTGTGTTACTAGGTATGTTTGCCCTGGTTTTAGGTATTTTTTACTTTTCTATACAAGCTTGGAATAGACTTCTTGTAACTTATTTTAATACAGGCCCTGTTGATGAGTCAAAAAATCAGCTTCCTGATATTTTGTGCGTTATCCAGGTTTGCATCTTTATTATCTGAAGCTCTAACAAATTTCTTTCTATTGTTGCGTTGTCTATCTTAATATTCTAGGATAATTTGTGCCAATTAAGTTCTTCATTTTGCTTAGTTGTTTTGCTAAGCATGTTGATCTTTTAGAATTTTGACTGTATGAACCCCCTGCTGCTATTACTGATTTATTGCGTATTCTTTGAGACCATTTTTTGCCCATAATTTTTTTGAATAAGTTGGTAAATCTTCCTAGTTGCAATTGGTCTGATGATGTTGTTGTTGCAACAGTTTTACTGCAGCAAGTTATTAGAGAATTGGAAGTTTTAGACTTATCAGAAAAATGACTATTTTTATAATGTTATGAGCATTACAGTTATCAGCTGTGTATATAATGACCTTATTAATGGGTATAGACTTTGACAATGTTTGAATTCTCATGGCAAAGCCTTGTATATCTGCATTTATCACAGGTCTCTCTTGAAGGTCAAATATCTCGCAAATCTGCAATCAAAAGCTTAAGTGATGGCTATCAACCTCATGGAGATCAAATACCATGGAAATTCTGTGAGCAGTTCCGAGATGCTGTTTTCCCAAGTCTTTCAGGCGCTCGCATTGTTCGTATTGCCACCCATCCTAGTGCAATGAGGGTAATTTTCTGATTTTTGCATACCTTATCATGTTTGGTTGTCTTAATTCTCGGTACCAATTTGCATCTTTATTATTGGGTTTGTTGCAGCTTGGATATGGTTCTGCTGCTGTGGAACTCTTAACACGGTACATACAGCTTTAATATATTCTTTTTTCAGTCTAGTCAAGTTTTGTTTTACGCCAGCTGTGCAATGCATGTCACGCTTCTCCATCTTTTAAGATCATGTATTGTGATTGCTAATAAAAACATGTATAAAAGTGCTGTACAGTGCTCTAACCTTCCTGCATAACTAATAGAGATATTAGTCACTTGACCTTGTATGTGTGGGTTCCAAGTGCGATATCTAAACTTGGGAGAGTGTCCTACTCTGTATGGAAAGAAGTAAAATGTAGGGAGGATTAGTTGATTGAAATGATGTGTCTTATGCTGACAAATAATACTACCCAGTCTGACATATGCAGTAAACGGGAGAAACTGAAAAAATAAACAATTGAACTTGATAAGCCGTATACTATGTTAAAGATGGTTTTTCTTCTTTTTTTTTTTTTAATGAGTATTCTACTTTCAGTTTGTTTTTTAACAATTAAACTGTCAAGACATTTAATAGATGAAGTATTTAAAAAATAGTTCCATTGAATGCAGATACTATGAAGGACAATTAACTTCTATTTCTGAGCTAGATTTTGAAGATGCTGAGACTCCACAAAGACCACAACTCAGACTTACTGAAGCAGCAGAGAAGGTTTGTTGTCTGAAGAAAGCTTTATCTCATACTTCTCATTGATGTCATAATGCCTGGTACTTAGGAGAAACTTTGCTGCAGACCTTGTGTGAATCAAACATTTTCACATCATTTTATAGAAATATTCCAATCTTTGATGTCGCAAGGCTTTTTTTTTTCTCCTTAGTAGCATACTTGTCCTGACTGTTCATTTTAAGTAATATATAATAGTTCAAAGATGGATTATTTGTACAACCAAGTTTCGTTCAGATGATTATTTCATCATGTTGGGCATTAATATGCCACTTCTAATTTAATGGGTTTTAAGTTCAAGCACTCCACCCAAAACAATACTAGGGATTGATGTGGGATTTGGCTGATCTAAGGGGCTTTTCTCTTAGATCTTGATACAAATGAAAATTGTGGCTTCATAGATTTCAAAGCCTTCTTTTTTACTGGTTGCATGAGTTTTCTGTCCTTGATAACTTTTCAGGTTTTTGATGTTTTTATGAAAGTTATATGTTTCAAGGTTTGATGCATAACGATGAATTTGTATTTGCAGGTCTCTTTGTTGGAAGAAAATATTAAACCTAGAACTGATCTTCCACCTTTGCTTGTACATCTGCGTGAACGCCAACCTGAGAAGCTCCATTACCTTGGGGTCTCCTTTGGGCTTACCTTAGACCTTTTTCGCTTCTGGAAGAAACACAAATTTGCTCCATTCTACATATGCCAGATTCCAGTTGAGATGATCTTTCCCCTAGTTTTTTTTTCCCATGTTTTATTGTATGTGCATTATATCTTGCCTCTGATTGGAGGATCAATTGGAAATCTGATAATTTTCCCATCTTTACTGGAACAGAATAATGTGACTGGTGAACATACATGTATGGTCCTTAAACCACTAAACAATGATGATTTTGAGGTCAGTGGATCTGATGAATGGGGTTTCTTCAGTCCATTTTACCAGGGTAAGTCCATTTTATTTTAATAAGAACATGTTTTTGTCCTAGCTTTAATATGAAATTCCGAGCTTGATTTTATTTCCCTCAACTGTCTCAGAATTCAGGCTAAAGTTCAGTAGAAATTTAAGCCATCATTTCCGTAACATGGAATATAAACTTGCTATGAGGTCAGTGTTTAAATATTATCCCCTGAAAATTAGGTTTATCTCATTTAATATGCTGATGCTACTCTTTAATCTTTCAGTGTCCTGGACCCAAAGATTGCCTTTACAGATATAGAGCCTACGACTTCCACCTCAGATGGATTTTCAAAGTTAATTAATACTCTTTTATCACCATATGATATGGGGCGGCTGAAAGATTATACAAATAATCTGATTGACTACCTCTCGGTAATGATTCCAATAGCAAATGTTGTACATTACTACATTTTGTGATTATTCAAGAAATTGTTTTACAGCTCACTGATACACAATTAGCAAAAATCTGGCATCTGCACTTAATATTGAATCGTATGCCTAGGTTTTATTTTATTTCTTTAGTTGTTTGGGACAGTAATCCTGCTGGCTAGTAGCATATTGTGCTGAGGCTCCTAGGGATACGTACCAAGATGTTGTCTTTATTTCCCATCTCTTCAGGGGAGTTTTGCATTTTAAAGTATTTGTATTTCCCTTTTCAGATCTCTGACCTAGTGTCGAACCTTGCACATCTATATTTCCAAGAGAAGATCCCAGTTACTTTATCGTATGTTCAGGCCTCTATATTGTTTTGCATGGGCTTGCAGAATCAGGATGTCTCTTACGTTGAGGTTTGATTCTTAACTTGTTTGTTGGATGCTTATGTACACGGCACATCTATGCTTGGATAGATTTTCAAATTAATGAACTGTTATCTTGCAGGAACAAATGAAAAAACTTGAAAGGCAACAGATATTATCACAATTTAAGAAGGCTATGATAAAGCTTTACAAATATTTATATGGAATTGCATCCAAGGAGATTGATTCTGCCTTACCTCGACTAAAAGAGGTAAGTCCTGAAGTTAACTTGTAATTTATGCCACGCCACTATTTGGAATAATTATTCCAAATCCCTATCCTGCTTGTCTTTTATTGATAGCTGGTGTCTGTCATCGCTATTTTATTTATAAATGTTGGTCCTTTTTGGCTTTCAGAGAGTGCTGGAACCTCATAGTATCTCTGTGGATGAGGACCTCGATGATGCTGCAAAGAAAGTTGAGGTATGGTCCATGCGCTGTGTCGTGCTATCCTTTTTTTTCTTTCTTGCCTATGGGTTCTCTCTCTTTTATGATCTAACCTAATGCCACTACAGGCGGAAATGAAAGCCAAGACCGATGGTCTGTTAAATCCTGAGTTCCTCCAACAATATGCCATTGAAGGCAGAGAAGCTGATCTTGAGATTGCGTTGCAAAATGGTGGTGAAAAGATGTTTTCAGGTGGTCTCATCAGTGTGAAATCCAGCAGAAGTGAAGTGGAGAAGCATGGGAAGCAGAAGGAATCTGATAAGAGTGGGAAAAAGAGAGGTAAAGCCGACGGCGGTGCCAAATCAAACAAGAGGAGAAAATCATAGTTACCAGGACCAAAAGAATCGCGTGTAGAGACTGTAGTCATCATAGCTTGTCTAAAGGTGGCCAGGAGCGAATAACTTCTTCAGAGGGGGAGTTAGATATTGCCAGTGTTACACCGCATCGACATTTCACTATTTGCCAGGCCAGCATATCAAGATGTGCAAATTTTGGGTACGAGAATAGGGATCGAGCCTCCAGTTATTGTTATCTTAATTCTTAATTATATCATAAAATTTTGGAAGAAATATCAAATCTTAACAGTGATTTTCACATCTTTCGATGCCAGTTTAAAGGTCGAAAATTAAGGTACACAAATGCGGGAGTGCAGTTTTTAACGCTTTTTAAAATCTTTTGCTGTGGTTTTTAGTTGTTCCTAGCAGCTGTATTCTTGTCGGAATTATTATCAGATACTACCAGAAAAATAGAATGATTCTGTTATGTGTAAAGTCGATAAAGAAACCGAAATGGCCAAAAGTTTACACATGCAGGAATTTTCTGAAGGGGATGCCTGTTTGAATTTCTGGAGCCACCTAGAATCCGAATAATGACTGTAATTGGTGTTTTCCAAAGCCAAATGCTAATATGAAAAAAGAAATAAGAAAGTACCAGTACGTATTTATTGCTTCTGCTAATCACATTCTGATGTCCCAAATGCCTCATGGGTTGCTAATTTTGTTGTAATTATTATTGGGTAATAAGATTACCGTCTATTGCTGGCACTCGGCCAATTTTATCAAGCCAGCATTTCTATCCATGGGGAGCAACTCCACTCACCCCTTTGCATAGGCGACACCCGTGGCTACGATTTACAACCTGCCCTTCTTGGGTAAACCAGTTTTGTTAGCACGGCGCAAGGGGTACTCAGAAGCCTTCAAGCTCAATATCTTATCCATTTACAATGATTGGACAATGCAAGAAACCAGATCATGGCCGAAAAATCATCCGTACAGTTAGTTTAAAGAAACAAAATAACTCAATAGCATGTGCATTAACAAAACATGAAACAACATTTAACTCGTTCAGATCAATTGGTTGTGCACTCTCAAATGACTAGTTGCTTCTTTTATTATTATAGCATAATGAGAAAGGTATTCCCCAAATCCGGAACACTTGTTCTTGTCCACCTCATAGATTAATAACCCCCAAATTGGAACACCACAAGTGAATTTGAATTTCAGATAAAGTTCCGGATGTCCAAAGACTTAACATCAGGCATTGGCTCATCCTTGAATTCCTCCCTGAAGACAGAAAATTATTAACAGCAAAAATAAATGCATCAGTTTCTATCACAACAAAGATTAAAAACATCTTCATTATTTATGCCATAATCCAAATATAACATTTATCAAACATATGACCGCAAATACCAGACAGATAAATGATTTGGTCTCCTAAACTGTTTTGATGTATGACATTGACAAAAAATGCCATGTTTTTCTCATAGTGTTTTAAACAAACTACCATGTTTCTCTGATACTGAACAGTAAAATTGGAAATGTCCCCTCGTTGCATGCAAAGATATTTCTCCCAAATTAACCTCAACATAAAACACAGCTTAAAAGTTACATGAGTATGACTGAAGGCCATTTTTATGACCCATGATATGCTCCTATGAACCGAATTTCATCCAGCCACCAAACTGACAAAAGTCCCAGGGCTACTTCATAAAAGATCATAATGTAACAAAGGAAAAAGATTTATAATAGGCAAACCATAAGAATATTTACATACCGCTTCTTCTGTGTTTCCATTGCTTCAAGGGCATCCTTCTTCAGCTCCTCCAGTTGTGCCTTGGAGATTTTGAGCTCCAACTCTTCCTCATACTTAGGCAGATTTTCCCTCGAAATTCCAAGCCTAGTAAAAGAAACAATTAGACAAAAAACATAAATCTCTACTTTACTTTAGGGACCGAAGCAAAGCATAGATGCACCTCCAGCAACCATTTTATGAACATGGATCAGAGTGTTGTGACATGCTTTGCAAAAATGGCTTAAAAATTCAATATTTTCCATAATGAGACCATTGTTGGAATTTCATAATAAATCTTGATAATTCTTAGTCCAAGAATACTTACCATTCCTATTTTCAAAAAATAGATTCAGAAAATCCTAGTTGATGGCAACAGAATAAGAAGAAATATTTAGATATTGAAACAAATGCTTACTTCTTATTTATCTTGTCAAACTCTGCCATGAGAAGAGACATTGATTCCTTATCATCCCTCATAAGTGGCTTCTTGATTTGTTTTTCAACTTTCTCCAAAGCCTCCATCATCATAGGCTCAATACCAAGTTCATCAACAAGTCCTCTCCTAGAAAAGGTAGAAAATGAAATAAATCAAATAAAATAAAGTAAACAGATTAATTGTGCAATTTGGACATATGAGTGTCATTGAAATGATACTCGGAGTTCATGATAAGAAAATATGAAATTAGCCAGCAGCAGCTGTTAATATTACATGCATGCTCAATTCAACTCTAAAAGGAAAAATCTCAAGCAAAACAAGACTCCAAGAATTTTCCTAGGTGAAAGCTGTACTTTGATTCTTCTTTTAAAGAAGGAAAGAAACCCTGACGAGAACAAGAATCACATAAACCTGCTACATCTTAGCAGAAAAAGCAGCCACATAAAATTAAACTATGAAATATGGTATTCATTACAACATTAAGGATTTATTAATGAGCATCCAGGCATTTGGCTCAATTGGAGGTGCATGTATTTCTTTGCTCAACGAGCTGGGTTCAACTACTCCATTCCCAAATAAGAAAAACAATGGTTTATGTACGATATTAAACTAACTGAAAAGTAGGGTAAAACATACTTGATCCTTATTTCCTGCAGTGTCAATAAATATGCCCGAGCATCGCGAATCCCTTGAGTTCGTGTTTGAATGGTGTGTTGGATCCGTTGAGATTCTGAGAACAAGTCAGCCCTGCAGGAAGGACAAATATTAGAGGCAACACATTATGAACCAATGACATGGATAAGAATGTCACTTTCCATGCACTATTTTCATCTTGTTTAATGTGACATGATAACATAAGGTCAGAAAACGGAATAGAACAAGCATAATAAGAGAATGCTTACCGGCCACACAATTATGTATAATCTCTTATAGTTATTGTTAAAACTTATGAGGTGGTTCCTTGAAAGAAAAATTATGAAGTGAAGTTCTGCAACCTTGAATTCTTATCAAAAACCAATTTAGTTAAGACTGCAAATGAACCAAGATGGGGATCAGCTACTTTAATAGAAAAACAAGCTCAAAACCAATCCTATAGTAGTTTAATAACAACTAAATTTTAGTCCAATTAAGATTGGCTCCACAAGGCTAATAAAACCAGTTTTCAAAGCAATTAATTAAATATAGTTTCAGTGTATTATCTTCTTATTGACTTAAATTATAAAAGAACAAATCAGTGGAGAAGGTATAATTCAACATAGGTAAGCAATATATAGGGAAGGCAGCTGCATTTTATAAAATCCCCCTTTCAATATAGGGGTTATCCAACAGATCTCAAACAGGCATATAGGAGCTGCATAATTACTGAGTTTCAAAGAGGTTAATTTTGATGTTATTTCTACAACAAGTTTTTATAGCCAAACTTTATAATGGCGTTCATTTAATCTCTCAAAGTAGATTGAGTAATTTATTCTTGTGTTTTCCTAATCTCCATTTTTTTTAAGGAAGAATGAGGTTTTTTTTTTTTTGTTTTGTGGGGGGGGTGTGGGGGTGTGCAGATATTGACCGCTCCTTGTAGGCCAGGAATAAAACACTAGTGTAGCCTAAAAATTCAGGGCCAGGGGCAAAGAAGCACTACTAATCCCCTTTTCCACCTTATTACCTCTCCAAGGTTCTAGCAAGCACAATTTGATCTATACTACTAAAAACGGATGTGCAAATGTCCAAAGCATACGAATGGTAGAACAAGTCAACAATGACACAGTGACAAAACTTACTTCTCTCTAACTGTCTTCATAACCTTTGCATACTGAGATACAGCAGCTGGGTCATCTGGGTCAATAGTGATCTTCTCCTTCTTAAGTATTCCCAATGCTGTCTCAAATTTCTTCTTAACCTCCAAAAAGATGTCTTTCAACATCTCTTTTTAATTAAAGAAAAGGAAATTTGTAAGTAAACCACACAAAATATCAAGCACTAATGAAAACCAAACTGTACATGTTAGCAGTAAGCAATCGACAATTATCTACTAGCAACAGATGATAAAAACATCAAAACATGACAAAGATATTTGGCCCCATTTCATTTCCACATATGCATCAAAACATCAAAACCTCTAAGCTTATAGAAAATCAAATCACATCCATAAATATGCAAGTAGCACACAAATATATAGTACACAGAAACACGAGCAATAATGATAGTGCTCTATACGCATACTCCAAGCTAAAGGAGAAGGGCGTAGTAAAAAACCAAAAACTCAAAATTAATGTCAAAGCAAAGCAAGCATCTCAAAATTCACTTACGATCTCCCTTAAGTGCAGCGGGAGCAGCCTCTTTGGCATAAAAACGGACTGGAATGGCATGCTCCTGTCGCATAATAGCTTGACTGCCAAATAGCTGCACAAAATACCCAGAGAATTAAAAAAAAAAAAAGGCAACATGTCAGCCAACCATCAATTACAAATAAAACATCACATTTTCAAGGTTAATAAAATAAATTAACTAACAGTAAAAAAAAAACTTAAAAACAATTTAGACGGGAATTCTATAAGTAATATTTTCGCTGTTGTGGCAGTTATCAGGCCTAATATTTCTCATTATACCTAAACCTTTTCTTCTGGAAGAAAAAGGATTTTTTATTTCAACATTTCTCAGTAAATATTAGACGACATACCCGAACTTAAAAGGCATTTGACAAAAATTGAATTGAAATTCAAATATTTAATTGAATCATATTAATCTACATACATCAATGAAGTTTCAACAGATCTACCAAGGACATAAACTAAACGCGAATAAACTGAATAAATAGAATAAACAATCTGAATCTGAATGGGACCGAAATGAGAAGAGGAGAATAAAATGAAGGTTAACAATAAAAAGGGAGGAGATATTGAGGAAATCCTAGATGGAGATCTGGAATAAAGGAAAAATACCTGACGAGATTTGGAGACGAGACGAGTAGAGAAGGCCATGATCGGAGAACTCAATCAAACTTTTTCTTGTTTTTTACGGGATTAGGGTTTTTGAGTATCAGACTAAAAGGACTCGCTCTATCTCAGGACTCGGTGTGCAAGGTTGTGCTGATGGTGCTTTGGTCTATCAGTGATTCGTGAGTTGGTTTGCCTTAAGTTTCCACCGTTGGATCACTTAATTCACCATCCAGTGTCTCTTCCTTGTTCTTCCTACACTTGTTTTTGTTTTTTTTTTCCGGGCCGTGCCTGGCCAGCCTGCTAAAATTATCAGGTTACCTGTCTATGGGCTACTCTAGCCTAGCACTGTCATTTAACGGGTCCTGCTGGCACGGCCCGTGAAGGCAAAGGGCATGGCCCAACACAGAACCTACTATAAACAATGGCACTTTGTAATCATCTTTTTTTTCCAAAATATATCTACGAATAACAAGTTTTTGACGCATTTTCTTCACCAAAGAATATCAACCCCAAATCCTCCCAGTAACATTTCCTGTTAAAGGCCACAGTAATCCTTCCCTTCAATTCGGCAGGAGACTAATAAGCAATGGCAATCATGTCACCCTACCATCCAACGCATGAACAAAACATTCCCTCTCCAAGCCTTAATCTACGCCTCTCACAGATGGCTTCGACCAGTGCTTTCAACTTTGCGATGATGTCAAGCATTACATGGTGGAGATCAGGCGTTGCGGTTCTCAAACCTTGAAAGAGTTTATTGCTGAAAGTCTTAATCAAGGCACCGAGTTCACTTACATTATTCACTGCACTCTTGTTCCTTGGGTGGCTGTGGTGGCCCGTGTTTCATATCCCAGCCTCGCTCCTTTGGAACCAACTTGCTGGTATTTTGAACATCTATTATCATTGCTTCACAGGCTATGACAAGATCATTAGCAATGATGTGGATGATCCCTCATTTTTGGCGAAAAATCTCGGGGTTGCCACTGCATTCTTGCCAGGACTTACCTTCCTCTTTTCAGATCTCCAAATTCACTTGGTATGCCGTTCCAAGCATACAAAAAGCACATTGGAATTCTTGACCAAGGGACCAATCCAAGAGTACTAGTTTAACACCATCGATGTATTAGAAGTCGAGGCTACAAAAGCTGTTGACAAGTACAATATAGCCGGAATCCGCCCCTTGGATGGGAAAAACCTGCAGATATTTGGAAGCTACGAAAGAGTAGAGGATGATGAAATGGGCCCGACTCAAAATCCGAAAACTGCAGTCATTTGTGTATCATTTGGAAGCCTTTCGGTATCGGCAAGACTTCTCCTCTCTGATGGTTGGGACCAAGGATTAACCGGAGCACCAATGATGGCAACCATTACATGATCGAGAGCAAGCGTTGCAGAGTCAAACCTTGAGAGAGTTCATCGCCCAAAGTACTAATCAAGGCACACGTACGGTTAGCTTGCATTTTTACTGCACTCTTCCCCGTTTGGTCAGTTCCAAATCGCTTACATGATCCATTTTGTAATTGCTACTGATAATTATTGTTTCAAAAAATGCAATAAATCAATTGTTCTCAAACAAATGCAATATATTTAATATTCAAAATAGCAAAAAGGGATTTACAAGCTTCTGAAACTGAGAGTGAGATAGCCCTCTCATTGTGTGAGCAACTGTTACGAAGGATTACAATACATATCTTGAATGAACTAATGGAAGTCGCATGTTCAACTATCACCACTAATGAGCGGTCATTGAAATCAAGATCCCAAATTCCTAAACAGAAACTCAAAAGATTACTAATGCCTTAACGTAAAAAATAAGATTACTAATACCAATGTCATAACAATTGACTCAAATAAACCATAAATTAAATCTTTGTAGTAGTGTAATTAAGTCCACACTGCAGACCAAGAAAAAGCATTTCAGTACCAAAAAAGAACCTGCAGTTCTAAAATGTCTAATACTTTTTCTCATTGTAAATGAAATTGTTCCACCTAGCCAGAAAAACGGACATAAAAGAGGGAAGTAAAGCCTTCCACTCCACTCATCCATATAACATAAACAGCAAATATATAAAATTCAACACCAAAACAAAACCAATTAACAAAATATCGTCCAGGAGAATTTCTAAATGGAATAGTACTAAATTACTGTGATACACCAAGCCACTTAGAGAAGTTCTCGAACTCTGTGTAGTCACTATCAGAGATCATTGTCTGATACCATGCCTTTCCTGCTGACTTGATTGCAACTACCTCCTCCTGAAAGATTCCAAGGAAAAAGGGAAACAATAAGAAAAAGGTTAACCCAATACTCAGAACAATAAGAGGTTTAAAGATATTCAGGAATCAATACAAGATAAATCCTGTTTAAAGGGCCTATAACATTGTAAATAATCCATCACATTCAGATAACAAAATGCATTTGTATAGAACATCTCTTTCAAACTTTTAGGGCCACCATACATAGCAAAGGCTATCTTTCCACAAAAGAAAGACAAGTTCAAAAGCATTTCATCATTTAAAAAAAGGCTATTTGATGGCAAAAGAGTTGTATTATAACTATAAAAAATATAACATCAAACTGCTCTAAAATCCATTTGCACTTTTAGGACTACTCAAATACTTAGTGAAATGTATAACAGACACAGCATCAACTAGAAAAGAGAAATAAAATTTTCATCAAACCAAAGATGTAAGTATAAAATAGATAAAAGAACAATACATGCTACAACAGCTATGTAACCAATATGAACTGCAAGAAATTGAAGAAATAAAGTGCAAGTTGAATGAACTAATATCTAACTCTTGTTATGATGTCTGAGACAACATTGGCATCTTAATGGAAAAATTATTAGAAGAATGCTTCATTAATAAGAATAGCATACATTTTAATACCACAATTGCAGCTAGCAGATCAGTTATATTCACAAGTGAGGCAGATGATTAATCAAATTGGATAAGCAAGCTAGGCCACAAAAACTTAACACAAATCATAAACAACTACATAACTTTTTGCACATGAAGGTATTAAATGCAATATAAATAAGACCACAAAATGAAAGAATCAAATACCTTAGAGATGGGTTTTCTTTTCTTGTCGAGCTTCTCCTTCTTGGCCTTCACTCGTTGAGCTTCAGCCAATAGAGACATTCTCCTAGCAGTTTTAGCATATGGGTTAAGCTTCAACATAGCATTCAAATTCTTAAGAGGGTTCTTCTTCATTGGCGCCCTCTTCACGTCCTTCTTAATTGGCTTCACAACCGATTGGACCTCATCAGAGTTAATAATCCTAGCCAAATCAGCATTAACCATCTTGGGACGGGGTAGCACGTACCCCTTCTTCTTCTCAGAAGGCTTATCAAAAGTCCCGTAGATCGAATCAAGCTTCTCAAAAGCTGATTTAGTCCAGATCACGAAACGTCCCAGATGACCACCGGGAGCAAGCTTGAGCAAATTCAGCCTTTCCACATTAGCTATTTCAACACCTGGAATGTTCCGGAATGCCTTTACCAGCTTAGCGCCCTCGGTACCGTACACAATCAATGGGCCTTTTCTAGAAATATAGCGGCGATTCCTCATTTTGCCCTTTCCGGGACGAATGGCCTGGCTATCTTTCGCCTTCTCGACGTCCACATATGCCCCGATCTGTTTCAAGACCTTAATAGCAGCCGAAGTCTTCTCGACGCTCTCAGCGGAATCCGAAATCACAAGAGGAAGCTCCGGAACTGACTCGATACGGTGACCACGCGCCATCACAAGAGAAGGAATAGCCGAAGCAGATATGGCCGAAACGACAGCGTACCGTTTCAGGTTAACGTTGATTTTCCGGTGCCAACGGCGCCAGATCTTGGTTGGAGCAAACATGCGGCCACCACGACACATGTTACCGAAAGCACCTTGGCCTGCTCTGTGGGTTCCACCACCTGGTACACGTGGGATACGTGAGACTGCACGGCCGGTACCCCAGGATTCGGCGGAGGTTTGATGACCGGCGCGTTTGGAGACGGCGTAAGGCTGACGTTTGTTTTTAGAAATGTTGTCGTGGACGTGGCTGACGACGTCGGGGCGGATGGCCGCCTTCATGACGTCGGGAAGAGGGGCTGTCGGGGCGGCGTCGGTGGCCATGTCTCCTTCTAAGGTTTGGACATTGACGAGTGGGCGAACGGCCGCTGCTGCCATTTTTGGGGGTGGGGGGGTGTGGGAGGCTAGGGTTTTTGGACAGAGAAACTGAAGTGGGGTTTGTGAGGAATATATAGTGGAAATGTTTAGGGTTAATTTTGGGGTTTTGAGTGTTTGGTTATGGGTTTTGTTATGGTTTGTTCTGGAATAAGGTTCGGCCTTCCTGAAATAAGATGGCCCAAATGGCCCAAATGTGGTTTGTATTCGCCATTTTTTGAGTAATTATATAGCACAAAATGAAGAAGTCCCAAGTAGTAGTGAAGAATTGTCAAGTCCGAGACAAAATTGAAAATCCGTCGTAAGTAGGAAGGGAATAATGACAAAAGGTGTAGGTGTTTATCATTTATTACAATTATATTTTTTTTTCTATGTTTAATTTTGAAGGGTATATTTTAGAAATCTTCCACATAATGCACATTTTACAAGTATCTAATTCATGTAACCTTAACATTGATATAGCTTTTGATTTGGAAGTGCACATCTAGTTGACAACTTAGATATAACCTGAAAGACTGATTATCTTACTCGAGCTAACCTTGAACAATCAATTTTTAGCTGGGTAAATTGACTGGAGTGCATCAAACAAGTAGCTGTAGTGTTCACGCTTTCAGACTTTCATACTATAGTTGAAAGGATCCACTATTTCCATATGCTTACAGGACGTGGATAGGAGATTTAACCATCCCGGTCCTTGCTTGGGATCCTTAACAATCCTCAACCCAACCTGGATCTGCATTTTCACCCATCCGCGACCCCATTCCCTGTCCTTCACCACCCCACCGGGGCAGAGGTTTTGCCATTACTAACAGCCTCCATAGCTATGCATATTGAGCTTGATCTCAAACTCAACATGTATAAAACATCGCACCTTGCCTGGATATCCCTCAAGGAAGACTTCTATGCTTCCCTTGAGCTAGAACCCAGAAGTAGTGTAAGAAAGGAACTTCTTTCTAAAAGAGAAAAAAGGAAGGTATGAAAGGCACCAGAAATATCTGTCATTGGAACTTGAAAGACTACAGATACACTTTGTATGTAATACATGTAATAAATGACTATTATTATCTATTCAACTGTCTTTGTACATGTAATTTCACATTTCTGCCGCAAAGGATTTACCACAACCACATGTCTGGGTAGCATTTGGGTTTTTGAAAGAGAAACCTCCACCAATAAGAGCATCACTGTAGTCCAACTGCATCCCAAAAAGGAAGAGGAGGCTTTTCGGATCACAGACTGCAAGAACAAGCAGAGCAGGGATGAGCAACAATTTGCCTATTAAGTCAATTAAGCATTTAAAACCATGCAACTTTTACATCCACAACCAAAGAAAAGTGAAACAAGCATGTTCCCAAAGCATCAGATTCTATTACTTACAATGTCCTAGGCATTTTTAGTCAATCTAACAATTCAATAGGGAAAGGGAATTTAATTTTGTACTCACAAGCCTTATGTAAATTGCCCAAATTATCCATCGACACTACAGTAACAGGATAATATCAGCACTCATATTTCCACAAGACATTGCCATGCTAAAGGTATTGATCATCAGTCTCCCAACAAATGTACTGAGAAAGTGAGGGCAAAGTGGGAAAGGTGTTGATCACTGCCCTTATATTATCCACTTCATAATGTGAAAGTGGTTTAAGTGCACCAAAATAACAGCAATTGCAGTTATTAGCAACCAATTTTATTAGCATGTTGACAGTCCATGCTAAGCCAAGGTCTCAGCATTGGACACACAATGCTAACTTTTCAAGAATCCAACAAAGGTAAGCACCTGAATACTCATTGAAGACCACCAAAATATCTGACAAACAAGCATCCTTCATATTATGTGAAGATAGAACACAAAATTATCTGAATATAAGCATGATTCATATTATGCAAAGATACGACATTCCTGCAAACAAAAGTCACAATGAAGTGATATCATATGGCTCCTATCATTCTTTAATGTCTTTGATAACTCTATTATATAGAGTTATCATGCACATTTTTTAGCATAAAAATAGCTAAGTCCTTATGTTTTTAGATTGATTTTAGATAGTTTTCATGCTTTTCATTGATAAGTTTAATACGTGTTGCTCTTCAAAAAAACAATAAGTTTAATAAGTGTTGAATCATTTTTGTTTCAAGTAATTTTAGTCCAATTTCATGATTGAAAGTCCTAATTTGTGCCATCGCTGATTTAGCTTTTGTTTTTGAAGGTTCTCAAATGCATAAAGCTGAATGAATGATGAACCATGCAAGGATGGCTAGGTGCAGACTCTCACCGAACATGCTGCAGTATCTCATGCATAACTATCGATACAGACGTCCAATCAACGTGATTCTTGAACCACTAGAAAGCTAAAGGAAGGGCTACAACTTTCATGTTTATCATTTCGCCCAGTTCTGATCAGATCGTGGTCAAAATCGCGTAAGGAGTGGCTGTATTGCAGCAGGGACAGCACAGAGGAGTTGGCACCGCGGCCTTGAGTGGCTGTGGCTGCGGCACTGGAATGCACTATGCATAAAACCACAGAGCTTGGCTCAGCCAGCACGGGTTTCTGATTTTTCTGCAAGTCCAATTTTTTAACTTAGGGCTTTTAAGGAGGGGTATATATATGACTTTTAGAGCTGGAAAAAGCGGCTGGAGCAGAGCAGCTTTTCAGAGAAAAAAGAAGCTTTTTACAAAAGAGGAAAGGATGAGAAATCAAGGAAAAGGAGCTTTCGAAAGAAGCTGGAGCTGTTTCTCTCACTGGATTTGACTTTCTCTCTCTTTCTTTTGCTGTAAAAATGAATTATTTTCCTGGGATGTTGCTGTTTGCTGAAAATAGTATGAGCTATATTTATTTTCTAGGATTGTGGTAGATTTCAACATGTAGTTTAGATATTATGTTTCTCTTTTTCTTAATATTAATGGATATTGTAATGTTTATTCAAATCTAAGCTTATAGCATTTAATTGCCAGATCAACAATAGAATGAATGTGAGTATCTGTATGAGACTTGATGAAGTTAGTTTAGATTAGACCATGGTTTGAGTAGTGTGTGTTCATTTCTCTTAGAAATTGAGTGAATTGATTAGCAATTAGGATAAACATATGCCTAAATGCCACATGCAGTCAAATTAGGACACATGCTTAAAGAACCTATCTTAATTGATTCATATAGACATATGGAAATCCAATTAGGATAAGGTAATTGTGCAACATCTCAACGGAGACTTGTACATAAATGTGGAATCTAGACTTGCATCACCACCCATTGATTTAAGTATTTAGAGAAATATTAGTCCAAATGAAGTGTTGAATGAAACCCTAATCCAAGACTCTTAGTCCACTGTTTTTCTATTAATTTTAGTTTCCATTTCTTAGATTAGGGTTGTTAAGTAGATTAAAAGATCAAGGGCTAGTGAGGACAGAAGAATTGTAATACTTATAAACAAACGCATTTCGTTTAGAAAGAATGGGCGTTCAGTTAATTTCAGATTAGAGTGTGAAGCTCTGTCCTCTTACATTTGTATATTGCTCTCAAATAAACCACCAAGGTTAAGGTTTTGTATATCCTACCTCTTGGTCTCTTCCTCTTCATGTTTTATTCTATTTTCTTCCTAAATTTCCAGCAGCCTTTTATTGCTATGTTCAGCAAGTTATTTAAGAAACGACCACATCCACTAATACTGGCGACTCAGCTTCAATCAGAGACAAAAGGAAGCTAGAACCAAATTTTGATAATAAATACTCTCTGTGCTTAATTGTAGTACATATTCTCCTCCATATAAATAACTCTCTGTACATTATTTTCTCCACTTGATTCTTCATTAATTTGCATAGGTGAAGCATAATACACTCTTGTAATATCATTAGAAGTACATGATGGAGTCAGTTGCTCTACTCACGAACTATGTTGCTTCTGACTCTTCACTTCCTTTGAAGTATCTGTGCCTGAAACCTACTCAACAGATATGGGTACAGAGGTCCAACCCTCCAACTATATGGAAAAACTTTAAAAAAACCTGAAGACACCCGTATCCAACACTCACCCCCAAGTCTAAGTAATTTAGCTCCAAACACTTAGGTGATGTTTAGATGGTGTATTTGGAAAAGGGATTGTATTCTAAATAAACAGTAAAGTCTAAGCTCCAACTTGTTTTGCAAATCAAAAGAATGAACTTGGTAAATTCACATGCAATTCTAGCCTGGAGTTTAAGAACCCAATATCTACCCTCCCTTAAATTGTCTAAATACCCCATTGCAACACATTCTTAGGCCTTACCTTTGTGCCTGAAAGTTCATGTTGTAATACACATCGTTTACTGCTATTATTTGTATATATTCCAAGTATATTAAGTTATTTTGGAGTTATTCATGCTATAATTCTTCCCTGGTTTGAATTTCCAATTTTTTCGGACTTAGGGTCTTCATTTAATCAAAGCTGGAGCCTTTTTGTTTTCTTTTGTTGCTTGACAAAAGCTCTGAAACAATACTATACTACACAACTAATCCGCTTGTCCTATTGCTCTTCTGATGATATATTCGGTGTTCTTTAGATTTCTTCTGAAAAAGTGAATTTTTCTCTAACAAAATCTTACAATCAACATAAATACTAATCCGAACAATTTTCCTAATCAAATCAGAATGCAGTAAAGAACATCGAATACAACGAAGCAAGAAAGAAAAAAAAAATGCCAAAGCTTACTGATTGTGAATCCGTTATATTCAATGATGGAATCATCGGGTCTGGCGTTTGCTCTCTTCTCAAAATCCATTGCATAAGACATGCCCGAACACCCACCTTGCCTAACCCCAATTCTCAAGCACAAATCTTCGTCACGCTCTGCTCTCATCTTATTCAAGTGCTTCAACGCATCATCCGTCAGCGTAATAGCCGGCGCCAGCCCCTCCGATGCTGGCGCCGCAGGAACGGTGGTGGCTCGAACGGAAAGGGGTTTCCCACAGCTGAGACTGGATCGTGAAAACCGAAAAGAAACTGAAATTTGGGGTGAAGAAAAAGACTGTTTTGAATTGTTTGAGAAGCAAAGAAGAGAAGGGCAGTTCGTTGTAATCGAAGAAATAGCCATTGCTGAGAACCCAAATGGGAAAAAACCAATTTTTCCTGTGTTTGCTGTGGGTTCTTTTGTAGTTGAAGTTACTGCACTTGGCACGCAATTAGCTGGAGATTTTTTTTGCTCGTCTTGTGTGTGATAATGATCGAAAGATCACGGCCGTTGGAGAAGTATAAGAGTCGTTGCTTTGACCGATTGGGGATCAATCTGTAAATGGATCCAACGATGGGGATCGATTTGTTTGTGTTCTTGATGCTCGTCATTACAACGCATCAGATACCTTCTATACTTCAACGTGGGTTTTGGGATGTCCCAGAGAAAAACTTTGGTCTATAACACTCACACCTTGTAACCATTTCTTTCTGTAAGATTATTGCAGTAGTTAAGGGTGTGGCATCATCCTCTCCTCTTCTTTAGCAAAAAGTAAATTAGAAGATGGAAGAAAAGTTAAACATAATGCAGTTGAGGCTAGTGTTTAACTGCTTTCTAAACATAATGTAACATGTAGTGTTCCACAAATTCTCTTATTATCACCCTTTTAAAGAGGGACCACCCTTGAAAGTGCAAGTTCAACTCAGGTCACCCAAAAACAATTGAACATTAGAACCATTTTGAAGAATCCGCCATTACTGTTGAACTATGTTTCTTTGGAAAGGCACTTCCATTTGATAAATGGTTATCCTGAAAGGCACCGTCAACCAATTCAACCCGCAAGTGTCTGAAATTTTCCGTTGATCAAACAATGAGTTTGTATAACCAGACAATGGAGTTGATGTTCAGATAAGTTAATAAACAATTGATATTCCTTGATCAAGTCTGCTCCAATCTTTTGGAAGAACTTTTTTCCATGGTTTTTGTAGTACAAGGACAGGATAACTCAACTGAGGAAACAAGGGCAAATTATGTTCTGGGAAGACATGCACAAAGAATTAGTACTGTACTTCATATTCTGCAAACAAATACAAAGTTAATGTTTATTTCCTCTTGCATTCTCTGGTGGTAGCTCATAGACGATTGACTGCTTCTTTGGAAGCAGTAAAATATACTTCTTACCAACCAAAGAATGAGTTCTAATATACATGAGATCAACATAACACCTCTCCCTAATTCCAAACCTCTAAAGAATAATCACAAAAGAAAAAATTCAAAGAATCAATGAAACAGGATAAGGTGAATAGTAAGTGTATGCAATCATTGGCCATCTTCAGCAAGCACAGCCTCCTCTCTGTTCAACTTCTGAAGCAGTTTCTGAAATACCCTGGAAATAACTGCACGAATGAACCAGTTAGCCCCAGGGTGAAAAAGGAAGTCATTCTAACAGCTTACAAGACAACAGATATAGCAGTTGTAGTGTCTACAGCAAGAGAACTTCTCAGAAATCACAAGCAAAGCAAAAGAAGACTTTAAAACATAACAGGAAATGAGCCATGCACTGATCTACATCTATAGCAAAGCAAAGATCTTTGCTATAGATGGAAGCTTCTGAGCTGTATACTCTGCTAGTTAAAATAGGTAAATATCAATACCATGGTACCCTTATAAGATATAAATGCTTAAGGGGTATGCTTATTGCTTACATGTCACGTTCATGTTCACTGGCTAGTGCAGTTTTTGCAACACATAAAAATGCTTCGTTAACATTGTAATCCTCTTTTGCTGAAGTCTCAAAATAAGGTATATCTCCCCTGGAGGCACACCAATCCCTAGCTTTCTTCTCAGAAACCTGTGCAGAAGTATGCTTTAACCAATAGACCATAATATATACATGCTATCAACACATTGTGAATAAGGTTACCGTACCACTCGGCTATTTCCACCATCTATGTCAATCTTGTTTCCAATTACTATGAAAGGAAATGTCTCAGGGTCAGATGGATCTGCCTGGTTTAGAATATCCAAAATATGTCAAAACCAGGATTATTGATAAAAAGAAAAGATTCAATTTTACTGGCAATGAAGATTAAAGATGAACAAGACACAGAGACACAAATTGCAACATGAGTTACAGAAGTTTGGACTTACTGTAATTGCTTGTGAGTATAAAATGGTTTTTCCATGCGTTTCCAAGATAACTCAGTAAGTTGATTAATGAAATAAACGTTGAAAAAAATCCAAAGGAAAAACATACATAGTATGCTGTAATTTGTTTGACTTGTGCATCGCAGAATGTCAAAGCATTCACTTAATTATAGATTATTCAAATTCCTATTCGAGCTTGAATCACTACACTTCCTTGAAGATTACTTAACGATTTTGCCTAGGGAACATCAAGAACTTGGAACAAGGCAGGCTCCCTTGCCGCTGTAATTTATCTAATTCCGGTTTAGAATGCTACGTATGTAGCAAGCATCTGATAAACTATATGCTGGCAATTGTTTGCTGTCAATAATAATCTTAACAATTGAATTGTTAAATAGTAGTTTGATGAGTCTACTCTCAGTGCCTCACAGCGAGGATAGGAGAAGAGACTTACCAAGACACTTAAACCCAAATTTTATGATCTGTTCAGTGGTCAGGAAACGAGATGAAAAGAAGTATGAAGCTAGGTAGAAAGGTGTTTCTTGAACCTGTTTCAGAAACTCTTCTCGCCAATTGTTTAGTGTTTCAAATGACCTGAGTACATTTACATCGTACACGAGAACACAACAATCTGCTCCTCTATAAAATGCAGAACCTAGACTCTGGAACCTTTCCTGCCCTGCTGTATCCCATATCTGTCAGAATAATAGTAAAATTATCAAACAAGTAAGAAAAAACTTGGTAAGTGGTCATTTAGTTAAAAACGCAAGAATGCCCCTGTTTTTCATCACCTACTTGCAAAGTGACCAATTTGTCATCGATCTGTAATTCTTTGGTGACAAAGTCAGCGCCAATTGTAGCTTTGTACTGTTGATTGAACTTGTTGTAAACATATCTGGATGACAAGTTAAGAATCCGGACAGCCTATGCAGTTGTACTGGTAGTCTATAAATGCAGCCAACATGTGCTTAGGATTTAAGACATGGAACAGTTAAAAAAGGGGAAAGAAAGTGAATTAAGTCATAAACCCCCAGGACTAAAATTTGCCATCACCAATTCACTATCCTTAACTGCACAACTGAAATAAAGATTCGTTGTTAATATTCAGTCTCAGATAAGTTAACCAATGGGGAAGCATGAGAAATCCAAGAAGAAACCCGCAACGATAAAACAAGAGTTTTTATTTTCAGCTATCAACCCTTTCCAGGAAAGAAGATGAAAGAGTGCAGAAGAAAACGAGATAAGAATTACACCTTAATTGTCATTGCTGGATACCTACCTACTCCCCTTGTTCACTTGACCCCATTAGTATTTCTATAATGTCATTACTAAATTCCAACTCAGTGGGATTTACCTACCTCAACCTACATCACAAAAGAATTTTAGTAGATCGCCTGGCATTCTTGAAGGTTCTTGTCAAAGTGAATGCTATTTGAAAGAGAACATGATCTATCATTAACTGATATTCATAAAGCAACTTCAGCTAAACTTTTAAAATATGTAGCTAATAATAGTACTTGTCAAGTTAGAACCTCTTCGTTATGACTCAACAACACAACTATCAAAATAATCACGGTCTACCCGCTTATTAAAGTCCAGATGGGTGGCATCTGGCTTGGGTGATGAGCCCTCACCACCACTGACTCCTCCTTCACCAAGCTACCATAGCTTCAAACATTTCCACCACAATATATACCAAAGCACCCCCACTCTATATCTGTTGTTGCCACCAGAAGTTTCAGAACATGAAATCATGCGTTTCATTTCTCTATGTGGAAAAGAGAAGAGTACATAGCAACAACAATCTGAGAGAGAAAACGAAATACCAATGCAGAAAATGAAGCGTACAGTTTGTTTAGCCAACAAAGTAAAATGAAAAGCATCCATACCAGAAGAATCTTTCCTCTAAAACCCGTTAGTAACTATACAATTCAGACAATACTAATTGATCGCTTAATTATTACTAATAGAGGATACTGATTCATCAAAGAAGTCTTTCCCACCCTGAAATAAAAAGAAAAAACAAAGTTGAAGAGAAAAAAATTCAGAGAGATAAACACTCAGTCAAGCATAACTTCGAGTCATGAACATTTGAACAGAAGCTAACTTCATGCAAAGAAGAGAAGGGAACAAAAAAAGAAGGAAAATTAAATCTTACCCACTGTCCCCTAGAACAATGACCTTAAGAAGAGTTCTTCTCTTCATAGAAACGTCCATGATGATGATCAAAAAAACTTCCAACAGAGAAAAGAGAAAAGGGCTCCTGCTTTACAGCTTTAACTATTCTTCTCTGTGTCCCGGAATCTACTAGGAAGATGAGAAAAGTTTGGAAAAGAAAGGCCACCAATACAACAACAGTTATAATTAAAGAAAGCAAGAGCCTGTTTTCAACAAGGTTCTTGATTCTTCTTAAGCTTCTGTAATTCTCTTTCCTTTTTGGTTGTTGCCTTTCCCTTTTTTTTTTTTTCCCTTCTTTAGCTGTGTTGTTGAATGACACAAGTTCAAGAGCATGTGAACCCTGGCCAACCAAAGCAAATATTAGGCGCCAGCGCAGCCGAATATATTTTTCAAAAAAATTATAGTATAAAATCAAACTGTATTTTAAATGTTATAAATGTAACAATCTTCAGTTTTATTGCATGTTGAGTTGTCTCGTTGACTTGTCTTTAGAGACTCCTCTTGCAATCGTGCCTTCCTCTTCAGTTCTGTCTAGAATCTTACAAAGTCTGATTCTGTAGGTTGAGTTTGACAACAGCAATTACAACTTGCTTCTTACAAAAGAAAATTATTATGAAAATTTAATTAAATTTTGATTATTTCCGTCAAAGTTACTTTTATCATACGTAACTCCTTTGTTATAAAATTAAAAATTAATTTTTATCTTAATCGTTCTTATATATAAAATTCGAGTTTTCTTTCTTACTAATGACAAAAATTCTTACTTTCCCTACCATGTATAATTTCTATGTGTTCAAGACCCTTTATTTATATGCTAAATGGTATACTCTTTGATTAAAGGAGATTAGATTAGATTAGCATTTGTTACCTTTTTTATGGAAATCGAATTTGAAAATTTGAATCCAAAAAAGAATAGGAAGAAAGGTTGGCCCCTTATCTGTCATTTTCGACCCAAAAAATAACATAACTCTATTTATATAAACTATACCATTTCTAGTTTTGTTAATTTATTCCCAATATGATTACAATCGAAAAATTTTTAGCTGTTGTAGTACTATTCATTAACCTTGATAAGAAAAGTTTGTAGTCTAGCTTTTGATCATCACCAAATTGTAGAAACATCCATTTAAATTACAGTGAATATGATAAGAAAATTGAGGAGAGAGCCCCACAGTTTTCCCAAATTTCATAATCATTGAACCCAACCTTTGGTTGGCATTTTGTTGTTTCACAATAATTTCTACCATACACTTGTTTTCAAAGCCAGGGCATGGCTAATCTACTTAAAAACCTTTATAGTTGAGTCCCATTGCCTTTTCTTGCCTTTTCCTGTGACTTCACCTGTAAAAATAGGTGAACTGTATTTATAAAAAAGTAAGACAACTTTAAAACGGAGGGAACCCCCAAGAAAACTGAATCTCCATGACCCATGATGGCTACATAAAATTTCGTCGTTTTTGCAGTATTGCTGGACTTTAACATGACAATGTTTTGATAGATGGATCTTGGGGTTTTGCTTTAGAGATGGCAAATCGTTGTCACAGTCCAACCCCAAGGGATAAGATGCCAGCTTACTAGATTTGCATTATCATAGTTACTCAAAATGAGTTGTACGTACTGAGTTGGTTCCAGCCTCAATCAGATGCCACAATTCCTTCCTCTTTAATAACATATTGTGTGATAATAATTTGGATTTGATACATAGATACATTCGATCAGGTCAGACCCCTTTGGATTGACATATGTATTCCATATCCAATTACTGGATATATTTAACAAATGGGCGTAGATATTTAAATATCTTTTACAGTTCTCTTTTCTATCAAGATTTATTACAATCATATTTGAATTGATTATATGGTTTGTGTTTGAAAATTTGAATTATCAATAATCATACTTTTAAATAATAATATTTAACTGACAAAAAAAAAACAAATGAAACATTTGAACCAATATCTTGAATTCTTGATACCGCAAGAATATGAAGGTGCATGCCAAATATTTGTAATTCCAAAGATCAAGATTACCAAGATTAGAAGCAATCTTCAGTCAAATCTTCAGAAACAAAGTTTATAAGTATAAAAAGATAAACTTCACCTCTTTTAAGTTCGGTGAAATTGTGTAATTGGTTCATATATTTTATTAAAGTGACGGATTTAATCATTGTATAATAATTTATAAAAATTAAATTTTTATATTTTTTAAATTGATAGTATTAGTCCAATTTGTTACAAATTTTTTGTTATCTACGTTGATATAATATTGATTGTATTGATATGGTATTTTTTTATTGATGTGACATTAAATTTAATGACATGGTAATAATTATACAACATTTCACGAACGATGCAATGATAGTACTAGCATGATGTGATCCAACATTGACATGAATTTTATAAATGCTAATGTGAAATTGTTCAATGTATAATGGTTTTAAATAAAATTTGAAAGAAACATATCAAAAATTCGAATAGATTTCTAGCATTTAGGAAAACAATGTTGCAAGATAAAAGGTGAATTGAATTTTTGTGTTCTAAAATTTAAAATAATGAAAAAAGAGTTGTGAAATAAATAAAAAATGTCAAATCGTTTGATACATCATCATAGTCAATATTATATTAATAAGAAAATGTCATGTCATCATAAATAATAAAAAAATTTAATAATGTTAATAAGTGAACTAACATTGTCAATTTTAAAAAGTACATAAATTTGATTTTTATAAATTATTATACATGGATTAAATTCACTACTTTAGCAAAGTATATGAACTAATTACATAATTTAATCTTTAAGTTTTCATATGATTTTTTTTTCAATTAACATCTTATAGGTATTTTTTTTTCAATTAACATTATACAGATAATTCATGGAATTGAGAGGCTATCGCAATGTTGGCAATTAGTTCCTTGATGCTTACTTTGTTGAGCCTACAAATCTTTGTAATGTGACTTGATTTCTCACAAAGCTGGCACATAGGTTTAGGAGTATTACATGGAAAACTTCCAATGAATTTCTTTCTTGAATAATAAGAGTTATTAAAATTGGCATTAGATATAAAGTTATTCCTGAAATTACCTCTTCTAGATGTGTAGTTATCTCTGGTTTTTCTGATGACATAATTTGCTAAGATAGGATAGAAATAATCTTGTTTCAATGTTGTCTCAAAGCCTGTGAATTTGTCATGAAGTTCTTCAAATGATATGACAGACTCCCTTGCTCTTATCGTTGTTGATAGTTCTTTGAATTCAAATGTTAGGCCATTCAATATGAAGATCACTAAATCTTCCTGGCCTATCGGCGCTTGAGCTATTGCAAGCTCATCTACAATGCTTTTCATGAGTTGTAAATATTTTGTAACAAATCTGCCTTATTGTGTTGATAATGTCAGCTTCCTTTTCAAAGGTATAACTCTTGTACGAGTTTTGTTGGCAAATATCTTGGTAGCTTCTCTCATGCTTCTTGAGAGGTTTTTGCCTTTGCAATGAGTGGTAATATCATTTCGGAAACTAATGCCACAATGGCATGTAAAATAAACTAGTCTTGCCTAAACCAGAAAGTGTATTTTAGATTTATGGTGTGTGAGCCATCAATATTCATGGATGGAGGACAAGCCTTTTGTCTTGTAATGAAACCAGTTAAATCATACCTTATTGATAGGGACTTAAATTGTATTTGTCAGAAAGGAAAATTGGTTGAGGTCAATTTGAAAGGTATTTGTGCTACTACATTAATAGAAATAGGGATGATGGTGTTATTTGAGGAAAGGTTGGTGGCTACCATGAAAGAGTTTTGAAAAGGATTAAAAGGTTAGTGATGCAATATGCTCTGATACCATATAAGGAAGGTTTTTTTGTATTATGAAGCATACCTATTTATAATATTATACATATTTATTTATACAGATTTATGATGATCAATTTTTGTATAACCGTTGCAGAAAATTATGATACGGATTTGAGAAGTAGATCTCATGGAGGAAAATTTCATGTTCGATAGATTTTGACAGATTTCTTGCTTGAAGGCATCGATTCTGTGATTTGTATTGATGCTGAAAAATCTAATGAGTTAATGTTGTGCTTTTACTTCTTGTCACCTTTTGTTGTCCTTTATAATCCACATTATGCTAATTGGAAAAAAATTCATTTAGAATAAAAATCATAAAGTGTCATGTGAAAAAAAGTTGAAACTACAAGAAATATAAGTGTAATTTTTCTAAAGTTAAAGTCTAATATAGATAAAATTGAATGAGTTAAGCGCTATTTGCTTCGGTTGAAACTTTTCTTAAAATGCTATAAAGCGAACTAAATTAATTCTTGTTTAATTTTTTTTCAAGTTATCTACCTCTTAAAAGTAGAAGTCATATCAAACACGGATTTTGAGATAAGTATTTTCTAAAGAACAAATATAAAAAAAAATGTTTCAAGAAAAGCTCTAACTAGGAGCTTTCTTTTCCTATTTTTAAAAATACATATTTTTTTCAGCATAAATTTTCTTTTTGTTTCAAAAAGTCCTGATCTATTAAAAATAATTCAAACTTTATCCGTTTCTATTTTTATATAATTTATTATTAGTTATAAATTTTATGTTATATAAAAATACTTTTTATATTTTGAAAATTTTATTTTAAATTAATAAGAAATAAAGTTAACATTTTTTCATTGTAAACAAGATAATTTGTGATTAATAGAAAGTTATTTATTAAATACCTTTTATAGTAATTTTAACCAAAATTAGAATTTATATAAATTGTTTTGCCAAATAACTTATCTCTAAAAAATAGCTTATAAAAGTAATATTACCAAACAGATTTAGCTTAATTTTAATGGTTATTATTTTTCATAAGAACTTTATATTAACATTTAAATTAAAAAAAAGTTAGGCCAAATAGGCTCTTACAATAGTTTTTGGTAAACTTAAAGCAAAAATGTTGTTGGATGCCAAGGTTATTTAATAATATTTTAATATATTTTAAAAAATAAAAATATGAAAGACTCGATTTTATTAAATCAAATCATTAGTTTTAATGTCAAAGAAATTCATACAATTAAATAACTTTTTAATAGTTATAAATTAAAATAAATGAAATCAATAGAAAAAAATTGAACCAAATAAAAAAATGAATGTGAAAAAATATAATTATCTGTATTTCATAAATTATTAAAAGATAAAATGAAAATACAAAAAGAATTAAATATTTATTACTATTCAATGGCGCATTTTGAAGAAATTTTGAATTATAAGTTTGTCTTAAAAAACCTAAATAAGCTTCTCATATAACTTAAAATTTTA